TGGGGAGTGCTGCTGGGGTTTCCATTTAAAAGGAAAAGGTGTCTGGGCCCCGGAGCCTGTGTCCCCGTGCCCTTCCATCTGCCCCTGTCTCCCTCCCTTCCCCCGCCCTGCACTGCAGCACCTCCCGGGTCGGGGGAGGGTGACTGGGAAGGGGGTTGACCACAGGAAGTGGAGGGCCGCACCGGTGTAGGGGAACTAGGAGCTGGTCCTAGGGAAGGGAATGTCCACGGTTTCTGTTGTCATCACCTCCCTGAAGACGGGCTCCAGGGCCTCGCCTTGTTTACCTGCACGCTCCCCAGGGTAGTCGATGGAGTCACACTGGCCCTGGCAACCCCTACCCCGCGGAGTCGGTTTGAGCCGCGCTATACGAGGATCCCGGCTCATAGCCACCCTATTGGACGTGAGCGAACTGCCCCCCATAGCGTTTCCTAGGCTGTAAATCTTTACGGGGGTGGACGGCACAGCTGCACCCCCAAAGGCTGTTTGGTTTCAACGGCTTACCTTTTTGGTTGACAGCTAAGCTCTTTTAACCCGGTCCCTTCTCCTGCCCCCACTACCTGAAATTGCTGTTGGACATAACTAGAGACTAGACCTTCCGTGGACTTCCCATGGAGGCCAGCGCTGTGCCTCCCAAGCTCCCAAGTGGAAAGAACTATGCACCTGGTTTCTGTTGGACATTGGTGCTATTTATGGCATGGGGTGTGGGGGAGGAGGAACTATCTCTAGCCTACACGACATCCATCGCTGAGCTGGTTTCACATGTGGTGTCTCATTAAATCCTCTTCAAAGTGCTAGATGGGTTTTGTGACATTCGGTTGGTTTTTTTTAGTTTTTTTCTTGTATTTTTTGAGGAGGGGTAAGGACCAATAAGAGCCAGAAAAATGAGGTTCCTGGTTTCTGTTTCAGTTTTATCTCCATGCCCTTATTCGTGTCTGTCCCACATTGAATCCCCATCGAGTGACCAGATCCACACGGGGTGCTAGCAGCTCTCTGTTCCTGGGAGTGGAAGGAGCTGCGGAGGAGCATCTCAGCCCTGAAAAGTGGCATGTTTTCTCCGCTCCGCAGTTCTGCCTCCTGGGGGCACTGCTGGCCCCCATCCGAGTGCTCCTGGCCTTTGTCATTCTCTTTCTCCTCTGGCCCTTTGCCTGGCTGCAAGTAGTGGGTCTAACGGAGGAGCAGCTTCAGGAGCCAATTACAGGATGGAGGAAGTAAGTGGGAGATCAGCCCCCTGGAGGTGCTACGCCTCACTTCTTTTCCCTGCTATCTATTTGCTCCCTATGAGAAGAAGTGGGGGGGTGGGAGGTGGGGTGTTGGGGTGTTTCCTGACGCAGTCCAGCCTGGGTAAATGAACTGTCAGTCAAATTGAGACCTGGCACAGAGGAACTGAACTGTGTTCCAATGTGACTTTAGCCCGTTGGCTAGAGTGCTTGAGGGCAGGACACTCGCCTGCCCCAGGTGTCTGAACCTAGTGGGTGGTGAGGGTCGCCGTTGCTGCCACTGATACCCAGCCTTGCACCACAGGACGGTGTGCCACAATGGGGTGCTGGGCCTGAGCCGTCTACTCTTTTTCCTGCTGGGCTTCCTCCGGATTCGAGTTCGAGGTCAGCGGGCCTCTCGCCTTCAAGCTCCAGTTCTTGTTGCTGCCCCCCACTCCACTTTCTTTGACCCCATTGTCCTGCTGCCCTGTGACCTGCCCAAGGTTGTGTCCCGAGCCGAGAACCTTTCTGTGCCTGTCATTGGAGGTGAGAGGGTTCGACTGTAGTGAGGGGGGCGGGGGGGATCACTCTGGGCAGAAAGCTGAAAGGGACTGCGTTCAGGAATCGTGGCCCAGGGCAGAGAGATGACTAAGAAGTATCTCTGACGGATGGAGGAAGTGGAGTGCTGGGTGGTGGCAGTGCCATCCCAAGGGATTCTTCCAAGTATTGTCTCCATATCCCAGCCCTTCTTCGCTTCAACCAAGCCATCCTAGTATCCCGGCATGACCCAGCTTCTCGACGTAAAGTAGTAGAGGAGGTTCGAAGACGGGCAACCTCAGGAGGCAAGTGGCCCCAGGTGAGTAAGAGTCTTAAGACCCTCCCCTCAACTTTTATGGGCTCCTTCTTCGGTTCTCATTTCCCCTCTTCCCCTTCAGCCTACCCAGCCCAGCCTGGTATCTTTCTCCTTCTCAGGTGCTGTTCTTTCCTGAGGGTACTTGTTCCAATAAGAAGGCCCTGCTTAAGTTCAAACCAGGTGAGTAAAATGATGGCGGGTGAGAAGGCCGTGTAGGAAAGAGCATCAGATTTCAGGAGGGACCCTTGAATAGCCCACGCACCGGGGGAGGGAGACAGGGAACTTGTCCAGTACTATAAGACACTCAAAACCAAGCTCACTGTCATCCAGTAAGTTCTGACTCATCATGGCCCCCATAAGACAGGGTAGAACTGCCCCTGTGGGTTTCCGAGACTGTAACTCTTTACAGCAATAGAAAGCCTACCTTTCTCCCTCGGAGCAGCTGGTGGGTTTTGAACTGCTGACCAACACGTAACCACCATTGCCAGGGTGCCATACTAAAAAGTCAAGGGGTCAGAAAATTAGAAATGACATGGAGCAAGACCAGAGTAGGATGTTCACTGGGTCCTGCCCCAGACTCCTTCTAACTACTACTGTGCACTAACCTCTGCCTGGGGGGGTGGGGGTGGAAATGGGGTTTAGGAGCCTTCATCGCGGGGGTGCCTGTACAGCCTGTCCTCATCCGCTACCCCAACAGTCTGGTGAGTCCTAGTCCAAGAAAGGGCAGAAGCAGAACCCTGAATCTGCCCTAAGTGAGAACCGGTGTGCATGCCAGGGTGGGATCAGGAGAGGGTCCGGGGCTCAAAGAAAACCCAAGGCCAGATCCAAGGAAGAAAGGTAATATTTCTCTCTCTCTCGCTCTCTCTCCTCTCTCAGGACACCACCAGCTGGGCATGGAGGGGCCCTGGAGTGTGAGTTGTGGTGTCCCTGGGTTGAGGGTGGGGAGCAGGGTTCCTCGGAGAATTCCTGCCCCGCCTTCTACTCTCCAGACAAGGTTGACTGGCCCTTCTTCCTTCTAGGAAGTGAGAGAACTCTGGAGAAGGGGGCGCCTCTTTCCGTCTGTTTTGTTCTGGTCTGGAAGTGCTTTCCCCTGTCCCACCTCGATTCCTTCTCCATAGTTAACATTTCTTTCAGCTGGCTTCCCTGGGTTCCAAAGTCATTTGCTCACGGAGGTTGTCCTCTCGTCAAAGACCCGCCCACCACCACCAGACATGCCTCTGGCTGTTCCGTCCATGGCCCAGACCTCTTGCCTGCAGCTCTTCTCTCATTCCCTCCTCCCGCCTTTCTGGTCCTTCCCTCTTGTGGCCCACCTGCACATTGACGCTGCTGACTGTAGGGCTAGGAGTCCACTTTTATATCGATGGGCAGAACATTCCCACATTCTTCCCTCCAAGTAGGGGAGCCCATAGTAGGGCATTTGGGATTGGTGGGCATCCCAGGTCTCTCTTCTCTTTAGGCTCAAAGTCCTCTGGCTCACGGCCTCTCAGCCCTGCAGCATCGTGGATGTGGAGGTATGGCGCCATGTGTGTGGTGGCGCCCTGACATGTTGGGAAAAGAGTGGGGGGGGGGGGGCGTCACCCTTACCTGGAATTACTCAGAATTGTGTGTGTCCATTTCAGTTCCTACCTGTGTATCACCCCAGCCCTGAGGAGAGCAGAGACCCCACCCTCTATGCCAACAACGTCCAGAGAGTCATGGCCCAGTGAGTGTCTCATGCACGGGGTCTTTTCCAGAGCCAAAGAACAAAGGTCAAAGGGACCGTCAGGGGAGGGTGGAGGGCCAAGGCAAAACAAATGGCAGGTGGGTGCCAGAGTGGGTAGGTATGGCCTTGGGGCAGCTAAAACAAAGGCGGGGAAAGTTAAAGAGGGCCTCAGGTGGAGGCGTCCCAACCCGAGTGGGCCAGAGTCAGTCAGTCGGTGAGCCTACAGAAGATTCTTCTGCCTCCTGCCCCATCCATTCCATCCCCCTTCACCCTCCAGGGCCCTGGGCATCCCAGCCACCGAATGTGAGTTTGTGGGAAACATGCCTGTGATAGTAATGGGCCGGCTGAAGGTGGCGTTGGAGCCGCAGCTCTGGGAACTGGGAAAAGTGCTGCAGAAGGCGGGGTAAGTGGTCTTGAAGATGAAGTCGTGTCACAAGAAGACAGGAGTCGATGGAGAAAAAAGCCAGGGGAAAAGTGGGAAGAATGTTTGAATAAAGGAAGATAAAGGATTTTTTGTAAGATCGTGTAAAGATGGAGTAAAAGGGAGAGGAAAGTGGGTAGTAATTCAGGTGAGGGAAATGGGGAGGGGTCTCCAGGGAACGTGAGTCAGAGTGCATCTCAGTGCATCGAGAGTTGAACCCTCACTCGGGAGACTTTCGGGGCTAGAGTCACGACTGCTGGATACTGTGTCCAGAAAGCATCGGCCTCTGCCCTGCCTCCAACAATCCCCTTTACAGGCTGTCCCCCAGCTGTGTGGACGCTGGGGCAGAGCCAGGACGGAGTCGAATGATCAACCAGGACGAGTTTGCCAGGCAGCTACAGCTCTCCGATCCTCAGACAATGGCTGGTGCCTTTAGCTACTTCCATCAGGTGAGGGGGCTGGAACAGAGAGGGGAGAACCCAAGGTCTTACCCTCTGGGCTGACAGACTCGGGATTTTTGAAGGACAGCACCTAAGTGGTGATTATCAGCCACCTTGAATGGCCAATTTGGAATCCGCTATGGGTGTTGTAATAGCCATTGGCAGAGTGCCATCTCCTGAGGTCCACTGGGAGAAATTCATATCTCCAAAAGGCTTCAGAAAGGGTCGGGAGAGCAAAATTACTCTGGAGGTACATACATTTCCAAAGCCCTTTTAGACCAGTGGTTCTCAACCTTCCTAATGCCGTGACCCTTTAATACAGTTCCTCATGTTGTGGTGACCCCCCCAACCATAAAATTATTTTTGTTGCTACTTCATAACTGTAATTTTGCTACTGTTATGAATCGGGCAACCCCTGTGAAAGGGTCATTCGACCCCAAACAGGGTCTCGACCCACAGGTTGAGAACTGCTGTTGTAGACATTGGCAAAGATAGGCGATGAGATGGGTACTAGGTGAGGGTCTTTGAAGTATAAGGTTAGATGGGACGGTAGCATAGGGAGGGAATGATACTGGGTCCGTTGTATGGCTCTGAGCTTGAGGACTGGAAGGATCTGCAATACTTGGGCAGTTTTTACATGTCCCGTTCGCTTCCCTGGGATTTCTTGCCATTTCTCTTAAATCTTGGCAGGCCACTTCTATCCAGGGATTGTAGGTGTCCGTGTGGAATCGCAGTAACCCTCAAGGAACTGTGTGTTCACAGAAACGACCACCGGTGGTCCTGGGGAGCTCCTCTTGCTCTCAGGTGCAGGCCGGGCCCTCTGTCCAGTGCGGCGATCGGTCCTCCATGGCACACACAGTGGCATCCTCCACGTTTCCTAAGACATGATGCCAGGAGCCCACTCGGACTCCATTGGACCAAGTCTCCCACACAGGCTGAGCCTAAACAAGAAGAGAACCAGTCTGTCTAACGTAGGGGCCGGAGATATCCTCTGATGGCATGTCAGACACTTGGGACCACATCCCTTTAGGAGAGAGCTTTGTCAGCTGATGGGATGTAGCTTGAGCAAGCACTCGACCTGAAAGGAAGCATCACAGACGGCAGCCATCGCAGGGGACACGACACACACACACACACACACACACTGCGGAGATGAGGAAAGAGCCAAAATGCACAGAGGAGGAGGGAAGATGTAGGGCTGGTCTCCCAGTACCCTGGTTTCTCTCGCACCCTCCAGGACGCCAGGGGTTTGGTGGACTTCCGCGATGTGGCCCTCTCACTGGCTGCTCTGGATGGGGCCAGGAGTCTGGAGGAGCTGACACGCCTGGCCTTTGAGGTACCAGGGGGGTGGGGCGGTGAAAATGCATGGTGGGTGTGCTCACGCTAGGGAACTCAGAGGCTATATACATAACCACTGGTTACGCATTGGACCGTGGTTTAACTGTAAGGTCTGCAGTTCGAAGCCATCAGCTGCTGCTCGGGAGAAAGACGAGGTACTCTTGTAAAGAGTTAGTGTCTCAGAAACCCACCGAGGCAGTTCTAACCTGTTCTATAGGGTCGGGTCACTATGAGCCGGAACTGACTGGACGGCAGTGAGTTTGGTCTTCGGTTTGGTGCTGCCCAACCTAGAGGGCTGTGTGGCATGCTGTTTCCAGTGTAATGTCCAGTGACTCACTGTCTAAGACCGCAGAGTCCCCAGGACTGCGTGTTGAGCCCTGCCTGGGAAATGGGCTGAGTGTTCTCCATCACATTTAAAACGCCTACACAAAGGTCAGGGAAGGGCAGTCTTGGAAGAGGGGCGGTTGGGACCTGTCCGGCAGATCGCACGAGGAAAGGGCGCGACTTGCAGGCTTTTCTCTCCTCAGCTCTTTGCTGAAGAGCAAGCTGAGGGGCCCAGCCGCCTGCTGTACCAGGACGGCTTCAGCACCATCCTGCACCTGCTGCTGGGGTCGCCCCGCCCTGCCGCCGCCACTCTGCATGCTGAGCTGTGCCAGGCCGGCCCCAGCCAAGGTCTCTCCCTCTGTGAGTCACTGCCTTCCAGGGCACCAGGGTGGAATTGGCTCTCAGAGAAGGAAGCGCTGGCTGGGAGGGAGCCCGGGGTTAGTGGCCATGCTGTGGGGTTGGTGAGATAAGGCTAGCAAGGCAGGGAGGGCCATCGCCTAGGCTGGAGAAGTAAAGGCAGAATGACCAGGAGGAAGACATTTCTGAGCGCAGCAGGGGCTTTCTCCCTTCGTGTTTGTAAATCTTTTGTATTCTCCCCTGCCTCACTCTCCTTTTCCCAGGTCAGTTCCAGAACTTCTCCCTCCACGACCCCTTCTATGGGAAGCTCTTCAGCACCTACCTGCGTCCCCCACATACCCCGAGAGGCACCTCACAGATAGCAGATGCCTTGTCCCCAGGTGGCCCCACTGCTCTGGCTAATGGGACTGTGCAAGCGCCTAAGCAGAAGGGTGACTGAGTACCTCGGCCCTCCTCACCTCATCCTCCCCGGCTCACCACCTCACCCCCCACCCCACCCCGCCCCGCCGACTCAGGGCAGCGCCAGGGGCCTACCCTGTGCCTCAACCCAACCTCTGCCCCTGTTGGATTTGTTTTTGTTTAAGTTGGTTTTAATTTTTTTTTGTAAGAAACTATTTTATATAAATATAAATCTATATCTATATCTATTAAAAAAAAAAAAGATGAAGCTCAGTCACACTACTGGTCTCATATGTCCGGGAAGGAAAGGAGTGACGTGGTGTAGGCTGCCCACAGGAAGAGCTCAAAGGCCTTTGGGGTCAGTCTTGCAGCGTTGGTTGGAGGAATCCTCCTGGCTTCCAGCTGGGCAGGGCTCTTTCCTGCCCCGTAATCATGCGAGATTTCCTCGCCTCCCCTCCCACCCGCCAACATGATCTCATGTCCCCACATTCTAACAGACTTCCTCAGGGACCTCCTTTCATTCCCTCTTGTTCTGTCCTCGTTAGAGATTAAAAAATAACTTGCTACCATTCCGTACTTAACAAGGCTCCTGAGACTCGATGCCGTCTCCTGTAGTCGGAACAGAGCGAGCTGTGTCAACAAGAAGCAAAGCTGCTTCCCTCTCAGGTCAGCTCAGCCGCACAGGGAGGCTTCTCTCCGCCGGACTCGCCGAGGACTGTGTATGGTCTCTCTGTCCTCTTCAAGGAGCCCTGGTGGCACTGACAGGTAAGCATTAGCACTGCTAACCGCAAGATTGGCGGTTCAGACTCACCGGTTGATCCTTGGGGAGAAAGGTAGGGCTGGCAGCATCTGTAAAGATTTCCACAAAGTCTTGGAAACACCGGGGTTGCTATGAGTTGGAATCTACTCAACACCAGTTTGAGGTTTGAGGACCACCTTTCAAGGAAGAAGAAAACAAGCCCCACCCCCACCTCCGTCTAGTGATCTGTAGGGAAAGTAAGTCCCATGTAGATAATTTGTGTAAAAAACAGCATGGCCCGGCAGGCATATAGGACCTCAGGCTATGCCATCCCCATCTTTACAAACAGTTCTTCCCACCACATTCTACTTCTGTGCGTCCCATAATCCCTTACAGTGGTCACACGGAACTCACAGACAGTATACTCAATTCAGGGGGGCTTGTTGGGGCAGGTAACAGGTTACAAGTCAGGATTCATGCATAGGACACTAGCACGGGTCCACAGCATCCCCTCTTGTCAGCCCGCAGCCAGGTCTCCCCAGTCCTCAGCCATTTGGTTCCTAGCTCCATTGTTCTGCCTCAGTCCTGAGAGACCTCTCCTCTATTCTGTCTCACACCATCTTGCCTCCACTCTTGGCCTGGCTTCCATGGTCCCTGCTGCAAGCTCCATTGCCTCTGGTCTCAGCCTCTGCCACTTCAGACAGATCTGATGGCCTTGGGATCTGTGTGTTCCTGCTTCTGAGAGGATGCACTCTTATATGGAGGTGTGGCTTTTGTCTTTCAACAGACCAAGGATACAAAAGGTGACACGAGTCATACTTGCTACTCAGGTGGAGGCTTAGAATACATCCTCTCTTAATCCTGTGATGGAGAAGGCCCTCCAAAATGGGCTCTGAACTGCATAACTACAGGCCTGGAGACCAGGATGTGTCATACATACGTCACCAAAGGGATCAGGGCTAGACGGGCCCTATTAAATAATTGACATTTCAGTTTGGTACCCCCAGAAAGATGGCAGGTAGAAAAGCATCTCTAGACTTTGAGAATGATGGAATGTCCAGGGAAGGTCTCAAATTCAAGTCTGGGTGTGGGAATAAATGAACCGGGTCACCAGGGACTCATTAGCATGCAGCTCATCAAAGCCTGGAAGCTCCTTTGTTCCCAAGGAGAGACTGCAGGGAGTGGAGACGATGCTGGGAGTCCAGGTGAGTTACCTGGGGTCCACAAACGGGCCCCACCACCTTCTTTTATAGCATCTTCCTCCCTCCTGCCAAGCAACAAAAAAACAAACACAGAAGATCATTGTTTCCAACAACATCTTTATTCATTCTTTTCTTCCTCATACAAACCCTTCCAGAATTCCCATACAATTCCTCACCGAGAAGACCCACCTCCACCCTCGGGAATCTGACCTCCACACTCTCACTCCCGTGGAACAACTGTTTGTCTGAAAATGAGCCGGTTACCAGACAGCAAGGGTGAATCCTACTTGGGTGGGGCCCCCCACGGGTTGGGCAAGTGGGAGAGGACGTCCATCCCTGCTGCTCCTTATTGGCAACGGCGTCTCTTTTTTCTTTTCCCGGTGACAAAGCTCTCCTGTCGCCTTTTACGAGGCTGTGAGGGGCTATCAACTCCCGGAGCCAAAGGTTTCTCCTCAGGGCCAGCTCCCTGGTGAGGCTTCTTTCTAGTGGGTGCTGGGCCTCCGACTAGAGCTCTCTTGACAGATTTTGCAACAGGGCAAGGGCAGAGGGGAATCCCAGTGGGTGACAGGCTAAGTTTGGAAGCCAAGAGGTAGGCAAAATTAGAAAGTTCTTCATCTTCCTCCTCCTTTTTTGCTGAGTGGCCTGTTGCAACCGCAGACGATTGCCTCAGCCTGGAGGCATCCTTAGTTTCTCGTACAGGGTGGGCCCTTCCCCGGCCCTGGTGAGATTTTGATTTGGAAGGCCCTCGTGAGGGAGCAAGGTCTTTGGGCTTGTAGAGATTGGTATCCTCTTTGCCCTGTCCTTGAGAAACATAAGAATTTAAATTCAACGGGTAAGGACGTTCACTGACCTCTGTTAGTCTGAGGCCCCGGTCACCTCCACCATCTACTCTGCTGGTGGCTTCCAGCAGAGGAGAGAAGGAATTGCCTCTGCTCCCTGACTCTTTGCTGACCTTGGGGAAGGAGGAGGCATCCTGGGCCCTCAAGAAAGGGTTATTGCCTTGACAGGCTGCCAAGAGGGTTTCTTTGGAAGACCCCAGTGTGGGAGCATCCATCCCACTTTCTAGCAGTGGAGAGAAACCTTCAGCCCACGGGTCACTGGGGTCCCGAGTGATCTCAGGGTTATTTTCTTTGGGTAACTCAGGGCTGCTGGCTCTCTGAGGTCCCCGCAAGCTGCGACTCTTTCTCTTTTCTGAGGTTGCTGTGGTCTCGCTGTCTCCACAGGGAAGAGCACACGTCCCCGTGTCCCCAAGTGATAAGCTTTCTCCGAGGCACAGAGAGACGTTACTCCCAGAGCTCTGTGCCTCACAGCCTCCCTGGGGCTCGGCTACGCTGTCACCATCTTCTAAGTCCTCTATGACCTCCTCCAGCTGGAAGGGCAACTCCAAGCCTACTATATTCATCTCACTGCCCAGCCAGAGTCCTGGACTGAGAGGGGCCCCATCCCTGTCTCCAGCTGCCCCTGGCGAAGGGTCCTGGTCATCGCTCTGCAGTATCGGAGGGCCGCAGTCATCTCCCCACATGCCTCCTGCAGAGTCTCCTGGGGTCAGTGCCAGATGCTCCTTCTCTTGTGGAAGTACTCCACAGGTCCCCATCTGTTCTGTTTGTAGCCCCAGTACCTGCTGTTCTAAGCCTGGACTCTGCAGTGGCGCAGGCTCTGCGAGTCCAATATCCAAACAGGGCGCTCCAGTTCCCTCCAGCTGTGGGTCTTCTTGCCAGCCAATGGGTAAGCCCTCTGAAATCCTATCAACCACCAAGGAGTGCCCAGAGGGCCCTGCCCCTTCCAGTTGGCCATCCTGAGGTGGGGCTGTCTGGTTTGTAACATTGCCACATCCTCTGCTCTCTGTGCCCGAGGGGACCCCAAGACCTTGTGGAGCTGTGAGTTCTAGCTTCAGGTCCCCGCTGCCGGTAGATGTCGGAATACTCCCATCCCTGCGCATCCCCCTTGAGCTCTTAAGGGCTTGCTTCCGTCCACCATGCCCTAATCTTGCTCGCTTTCCTGAAGAAGCAGCCTTTCTGGGGCAAACAGAGCGTCCAAGCATCCGAGGCCCAGGTGATGGCCGAAGGTGCCCACTCCCCCCTTCATCCTCATCAGAAACAGAAGGACTGGAGTCCAACTGAGCTCCAGTGCAGCTTGCGGGTGCAAGTGCCTCTGCCTCCTCCTCTTCTAAGGCCATGAGCCGCTTCTGGACCAGCTGGAAGGAAACAAACACATGTCCGTTCTACACACACCGTGGTGAGAAGAGGTGGGGGGGCAAGGCAGGAAAGACAAGCCAATGGCCCCAAGTGATTCTATCAAAGATGGGCACTCACCTCTTCTTTCCTGCCCTCCCTCATGGGCTTTACCCTGTGCTTCGAGGCCCTGCACCCCCGTTCCCTGCCTTTCCATGGTCCCCTATCCTCGCTCAACACCTGAACCCCACTCCTGAGGCAGCGTATGGTTAGAGAAAATCCTGTAGGCAGCTGGCTCGATATCCCCACCTCCCAAGTTTACCTGACCCAGAGTGAGCTCCTCTTCTCGCTGCAGTTCCTCGGTTAAGGCCAAGGGGTCCCTCTGCAGGTCTGGGGACAGCAGATCTGCTAGAAACTGAGGGTGAATGATGGCCTCCACCTGGGGGGACAGAAGAAAGTGAGTCTGCTAGGAGGTAACCTGTAAGCCCAGAGGGTCCAGAAGAGAAGCCACAGGTGCCTCCCAACTCCTTACCCTTTCCCACCCCCGCCGAGGGTTTTATAAACCGCCACCAGCTACACATTCACGTGTGTCCATGCACACACTTACACACACGACGATGACAGAACACTGCCTCGTCCCTAACTGCTTGGGGAAGAGCTGCAGATCTTTGGTTCCCAAGGAAGCCCACCCGTGATCTGCGAGGCACCAGACCTCCAGGGACAGCCCACCTTGGTCACAAAGACTTCCTCACAACATAGCTCTTCGATGTAGCTCAGGAGTCCTGGATCCGGGTACATGCCTTCCTCCTGCTGCTGTTCCTCCTCTTCCCGTTTCCCATCCAGCTCTCCCAGGGCTGGGTGGCTCCCCATGAGCCCTTCCATGATGCTGGTGTACTCTTTCACAGCTTCTGCTGGGATCTCCTTGGGTGCCTCGGGAACTTGTGCCTTCTGGGATTTGCGCTGCCGCCGGCGGGGGGCCCGGGTCTTGGCGGCTGCCTTCTTTGGGATGTACACTTAGGAGAAAGGAGAAAGGGCCTAGTGGCACAGAAGCTACAGCTGATGTCTCCCAACCCTATTTGGAAAGGCCACATGGGTCCCAGCCAGGTCAGGCCAACCTGACAGGGCAAAGAGGACACTAATCTCTGGGGGAGGTCTAGGGACTGGAGAGTGTCCAAGCCAAGCATCAGGCAGCTGGGATCTCTCCAAAGACCAAGAAACCCCTCACCCTGACCCCATGGCTTAGATCAGATGCTGTGGGCCCCAGGTGACGATCAAGTGGAAGAGCAGCTAGCGTTCTTGGCCGGTATCAGTTGGGGAAGAAAGGAACCTAAGAACCAGAACTCCTACGGAATGTCCTGTTTGAAACATGGAACACCCTTCCCCAGGGGAAACATGGCAGAAGAGAAGGCAATGGCTTGTGGAATCCGACTGGCGTCGGCAAGCCTCACTCTGAGCCCCTGGCCCGCAGCTGCTCCTGGGACTCGGTAGCCATACCTGACTGCTGGCCAACATCTGAAGCAGGAGGAGCCAGAGGGACCGGAGGGTCGGGGTGCAGAGGGGCGGCTGCGGGAGGCAGACATTGGGACCCATTTAACAGCTGTGCATTTTGAATCTGCATCTCTTCCTCGGCCTCAAACTCCATGAATCTGCAAAGGGTGAGGACGGCACGCTCAGTGTTGAAATGGTCGCCTGTCCCATCAGGAACCCAGGCAACAGGCTGCCGCCACACACAGCCACCAAAGGAAGTGTCCTCCTTAGGACAAAGTTCCGCCAAGTTCAGTCACCCAGCAGGGGAGCTGCTCACAGCCTTTCCCCAGCCGACATCACTTGGGATGCTTGTTCAGACTAAGCTCTCTCTCCAGAGCAGAGTGTAGCTTTCATGTTGGTTTTTCTGGGCTCTATCCTGTTTGATCAAACAAATGGAGGGCAACATGGCAAGACCCCTCTTAAGGTATCATCTGCCTTAGCCAGCAAGCACAGACAAGAAATCAGGAAGCAGGGCCCAAGGCTGCAATTCTAGGCAGGAGGTGGGGAGAGCTAAAGCAAGCGTCAAGAGGCTGGGACTAGAGCCTTGAAGGGTAAAACTGGGAGGTTTATTAGGCATTGAAGAATTTTGGGGAGAAAGTGGAAGCTATGCTTGGAGGAAAGGGTTCATTTTCCTCCTGTGTTTTATTTTTAACTAAGTAGATAATGGGGAAGAAGAGCCAGGCAACTGAGTAAGGCTTCAAAGGTCCCTAGTTTCCCCTAGACCAGCCCCTCCCTGGGTGGATGGGATACTGTTTCCAAAGGCAGGGTGGTCAATAGATATATGAATGGTTTGGGAGATCGCATTTAATTCTAGCCCCAATCTAAGAACAACTAGTTTCCATAACATAGCCCCGCACAATACTCGCCTCCTGGAAAAGTCACGGGAGAGATGGGTGCTATAGCAAAGTGTGACGAGCCCAGATAGTGCCCAGGGTCTTGAAAGAATAGTATCTGGGGTCTTAAAGGCTTAACCCAGCAGCCATCTAAGTGTGGCATAAACTGAGACGCACACCAACCTGTGTGACCCAAGGACTGTCGTAATAAAGTCCAAATCTAAAGGAGGAAATGACATCAGAGCTTAAATTGTGAACACCCACTTTGCAGAAGGCTATGGACAACAGAAGCCCCAAATCTCTCCGCACAGTGCCCACAGGGATGAAGGCGCCAGTGAATCTCCTCCGACAACCTTCCAGGGTTGTGAATAGCCTTGCTGTCAGACAGAGAGCACAGTAGTGGACTATGGCAGATGTAGCCGGGTTGAAACGTAATACCTTATCATTTGATTTCCCTCAACTCATTTTACAGTTGTTTCAATTTGGGTTATTTTCTGCTTTCCTTTAGATTGAGGTTTTTCTCTGTTTCATCTAGTCATTGTTGTTGGGATTTTTTTTGTTTATTTGCTTCCTCTTTGTGTCTTGTATGATTTTCTGTATATGAAATCCAGGTTAGGTAACTACAGAGAGAGTAACTGGATGAATACTTAGCCAGGGGCATGGCAGGGGAGTTTGGGGGGAAATGGGGAGCTAACAACAATGAGAAGAATATGTTCTAAAATTGACTGTGGTGATGATCATACAATTCTTCTTAATATATGACTGAATAAATTGTATGATACGTGAAGTATATGCCAATAGAACTACCGGTATTTAAAAAAGGAGGAGGAGGAGTGCCTGGAGTCTACCTGGGCAGACAGGTAGGAAGGAAGCTGCCAGGTAAAACTCGTGTCATTGCTTTGCTAATTCTCTCCTACAGCATGGGATTTTTACATCTATGAGGCTCCCCCACCCTCATTAAAAGACCTTCAGTATCATGTAGACTCAGACAAACAGAGCTTCCAAGTGAACGCAAGACATAAAACCCTAGAGGTGAAGGGGACGGACGCAGCAACGTGGAGAGAGGATCAAATCTTCCACAATCCAGGCAACTCTATTCCCTAAGCCGCCCTGCCACCACCTTCCTTTAATAGCTCTTTAAAGAGTCACCCACACACCTAGACACAAGCGTCTCATAACTGCCTCCATCCCTCTCGGCCCCAAGCCTCCCTTAGGAGAACTCACTTTTCTGCCATCTCATAGAAGATCATCCGGTCAAAGTTGCTGGTTCGCTCCCACTCCTGCACAGCCCTTGGCAGTCCCTCCTCCAGAGTCATGGTGGGCTTCAGCCGGGCCAGGGAACGAAGAACGGGGCTGAAACCCCCGTTAGGTCAGTCACAGCCTCCACCAAGCTCCGCGTGCATCCTCTGCCTCCCATCAGATCTGCCCTGGCCCCTGTTCCTGTCACGCCCCCCTCCCGACAAGACCTTCAGACATCCCAACTTCATTTCACCAGACTCCCCTGTCTTCCGGCTGCAACTAGCTCACCCAAAATCAAACAGGTGATTCTCCACCCCACCTTCAGGATTCACTCGGTGCCATTCCTCTGTCCCCCAGCCTCACAGCGCCACCCTCAACCATTGGCAAGAAGCACACTATCCAAGGAAGGAGACTCAATGCAAAGGAAGCTTAATCTTGCCCAAAAGGGCTTGCTTTTTTTTTTTTTTTTTTTTAAATAAAGGAACTTCCTAACTTTAAATGAATCTCTGATTAAAGGTTGCTGGGTGTTTTCAGTTGATGCATTTATAAGTGGCGCGGCCTTCAGAATACCAATCACCAAGTGCCAAATACTGATCCTAGACCTCCGGCTTCTGGAAGTTGGACTCGGCCCTTTCTGACCCAGCAGGATTCAGAAGGCCAGCCCGTAGCACAGGCTGCATTTCTGTTCAATTTCCCAAACAGAACTCAAACATGACAGTGCAGCAGAACCACCCGGAGAAGTGTATCACAAAAATGGATCTAGAAGCCCACTCCCATGATCCCCAAACTGAGCTTCCCAGGTGCCTCTTTTGGGGGAGCTGGACTGCACTCCTTTGGTGGACACCCTACCCAGGGCACCTGTGGGTGGGGAGCAAAGAGCTCAGCACCAAAATTGAAGGGGTCCTTTGCAAACCGTGAAGGCCTGTGGTGCCTCAGCCCAACCTCCACCCCACCCCAAACACACACCCCATCAGTGGAGGTATGCATGCTGCTGCGGTGCTAAACAGATTTCAGTGGAGTCACCAGAGAGACCAGGAAGAAAGGCCTGGCAATCGCCTGAAAAATTAACCCATGCCAATCTTACGATCACCACGGCCTAGTCCTACTGTGTGAACAGCGCCACCATGAGTCAGAGCCAAGGCAGTGGCTAACAAAAGCAACCTGGCCTAACCTGTGGTCATTTAACAAAAGCAACCTGGCCTAACCTGTGGTCATTGAGACGATTCAGAATCAGAGGGGTCCCAGGTGCTCAGAGTAGAACTAAAAAAATGTTTTAAATTAAGAGTAGAAGTGCATCCTAGAGCTTCCTTGGTTATTAAAGGAAAGCAACATCAGTGCCACGAAGCCGATTCTGACCCACGGTGGCCCTGCAGTGACCCTCTTTCCATAGCAGGCTGCTCCCACGGTGCCACAGCCCACTGGTACTTTCGGGGGCCGGTGTAAGCGGTGCCACGCAGGGACTGACAGCAACCATGGTTTAAGGAGGCACTCATTTTGCCAAACAGTTCAAGTGTCTGCACTCATTTATTCTTCTCAGCAACCCTTTGAGTCGAGTATAATGATGCCTTTCAGGCAGGTAAAATTCGCCTCCTTTTTTAATGAGAAAACTGAGCGTCAAAGATGGACGGTGTCCTCCTCGGGATGACGAATGTAGTGAGTGCTGAAGCCCCGACCACTAAGCATGCTCTCGAAAACCAAAAAATCCTGTTTCCGTCATTTCAGTGCAACCCCACGTGTGCCTGAGAGACACTGTGCCCCATGGGGGTTTCAATGCAGATGGTCAGGCCTTTCTTCCGAGGCACCTCTGCAGCAAACCCAGCTGCTAGCCACTGCCCCACCCAGCCACGCTAGGGTTCTTCTCCTGGTCCTGCACTGTGCTTTCCTCCCAGAAGAATAAGTCAGGGCCCGGCAGTCCCTGTCCTGGCTGGCTCAGATCCCACCCTAGCCAGGTAGGAAAGAAAACAGGGCAGGATGTTGGTGATTATGGTCGGAGACCTATATTCAAACCAGAGTTGTTCGCTTAATGGTCCTAAACCTCTGCAAGCGTATGTGAGGATGACCAGGAAAGTGGCCGCCTGCACTCACAGGACAGAAGGCCCCTTGGCAGAAGATACCTGAGAGCACGTGACAAACTGGGAATCGGGCGAAGAGGCACCTCCATCACTACGCTCACCATCTACTTTCACATATTCTTAAACAGGCTAAGGTCATAAATCCTCCTTATGTAAAATCCCTAGGGATAATTAATCGAGGGTCTCTCAACTTACATCAGAAAACAGGAAAACGCTTCTGCATCAGAGCTTTGGGCTACGTGTCTCCTGGCCAAGCCTTTGTACCGCTGCCAACGTCGGAAGTTCTCATAAACGCCCTTGGAGGTGTGGGCGAGGTCACCAAGGGAAGACTTGGGCCGGGCAGCCAACGGGCCTCCTTCCCCGGGAGTCCCATGTGTCGCTGGCCAAGCCTTTTCTGGGGGAGTAAGGGGGGTCAGTTGGGCAACTGATGGAAGAGCTTGAGGAGGAAGGCCTGGGGACCTTTCCTGGCTCACCCCAACAGCCTTAGCAGGCAGAATGCTGGTCACATTAGAGGCTGCCACCAATTGAGGACCACCACCCTCGGGGTCCCCTCGGGGAGCACTTGAGGCCATCCAGTTGAGGGCAGTCTGAGAAAGGATAAAGTTCTGAGTTTGAGGGGGCTCAGCTGGCCCTGTATCTGCCTTGAGTTTGAAAATGACCTTGGCAGCCCCAGTCCCACTGGGGCCCCCATCCCCTGTCATTAGCAGTGAGCTGGGAAAAGCAGACAGCACCAGAGGGCTGCCTGAAGGAAAGGCTGAAGGCACAGGCACGGAGGTCTGTGGGGGTGCTTCCCAGGGTGGTGGGTCTGGTGGGCCTGGCGCAGCTGGGGGAAAGGAAAGAGCCGTGAAAGAAGACATGGTGGAGCCCGTCTTCATGGTCCTATCTGGTCCTGACAATGACGGTGCTGTTGAAACAAAAAAGGGGAGAGGAGGGAAGAAGGATGGAGCTCACTTTAGACCATCCGGGTCTCCTAGAATCACTGAAACATCAGAGCACAGATTCTCAACAGGAAGGGTGGGAGGGGAATGGATGGGGGGAACACAGCGGTTATCAAAGGGTGGTGTACTGCTTATGAGCTGGGCTGCTAACCACAAGGTCAGCAGTTCGAACTCATCAGCTGCTCTAGACTTTCTAGTCCCCTATGGAATAACAGTCTCAGAAGTCCACAGACGGGGCAGGCCAATGGAATGACCCCACGGCCACGAGGGTTGGTTTATGCCCAGCTAAGATGACTGCCCTGGAGAAACCATTCCCTTCTCAACAAGACATGGAAACCCACCCCCCCCATGCCCACCCCACCCTACCCCCGCCTGCCAAGAAGCGACTAGACCCAAGCCATCACTGCCTCAGCCCCCTTGGCATCCCTAAAGGCCATTTGCCAAGACACCCATCAGGGTTGACCTGCTCTGCACAGGTCAGGGTTGTAGCCTAACACAGGCTGACAAGCAGGGAAGCATAGTCCAGGAGAGGTCTGGCTTTCCCATCAGCAGCCACGGGGCCCTTAAGAAGGAGGCGGGTCCAGAAAGAGTATTCACACCATCTCCTCAGTCTTCCTTTAACTGCTGCCCCTTGTCAATCTTGTTTCTTTCTTTTACCATGAGGGAAACACTCAAAAAAAAAATTTTTTTTAAAACCATCCGGGAGTGGATTCTAACTGATAGTGACCCTCTAGGACAGAGGAGAGGCGTCCCGTTAGGTTCCGGAGGCGTTAAATCTTTCCGGGAGCAGACAGCCTCACCTGTCTCCCACGGAGAGCCACTGACCTTGCAGTTCATAGCTCAATGTGCAGCCCACCACACCAGCAGGAGCAGGGACCCCAGGAGCCAAGAAGCTCACACCCTGTAACACATCCCACCCAGCATACACGTCCATATGCTATTCCCGCCCATTCCCACCTGAACCCTGCTCCCAACTGCTCCATGGTCCCTGCCGCCACACATAGAAGTGCTGTTCCCAGGAGAGTAGGTGCGGATCCGCTATTTGGTTCCCAGAAACGTGACCTTAGAGTCAGGCTTGATGAGAGAGCAAATGGGCGAGGGCTTGAGCTTACATGAAGAAGTGAGAAGTAACTTGGGTTTGGGGCACCATCTGTGCTCCCTCTGCTTGGAGCTCCTAATATCTGAAATTGGGGGTCCATTAAGAACGGGACACTGGGCTGGGTGCTCAGGGAAGGACAAGGAAGTCTAGAAGAAAGATTCTGCTCCCAGAAGCTCCCTTTGTTGGCTCTAGTGAGCCCTGGTGCATTTAATTACCTAGGATGTGAGTCTGGGAGGACTTTTAATAATAACAATAGCAGATAATCTGCCTAATCTCATGCATCTGTCCTCCCCCCTGGTGTCCTATCAAAGAACATTCCACGGCAACGGTTGGCAAATCAACAATGCTCAGAATCTACTTAGTGACCAAGGAGCAAAGGCGTGTCTAGGGAGAATAGCACCTATAGCAATCAGTGTTCCATAGCCCAAGGATCTCTTCCCGCTGGGCACGGAAACTGCGGTGATGAATACAAAGGATTCACTGGCTCCGAGGGCATGTGTCACCCAGCCAGACTCCAGATATGCCTCTGCAAAGAGATTTGGAAGATGAGCAAACCCACCATCTCAACAGCAGATCAGGTGCCCAGGGGTATGCCACCATGGGCTGGGCAGTGGGTCTAAAGGGCTGCATTCCTGAGGTTGAGAAACACAGAACACCTCAAGGAAGGGAAGCCCCAGCTCTCATCCAGGTTGTCGATAACTCATTCCCAGCTCTGATGAAACTGAGGAAAAAAGGTTCCCTGAACTCCAGGAGAAATCCTCTCTGGGTCTGGAAGGAGCCCTTAGGCTCTTGAGCAGGGCCAGGTAGAATACTTTCTGGCCTACCTTTTGGGAGGGCATTTCTCTGTCAACCTGGCAACAGGCAACCCCACTGGCCAATTTTCCAGCGAAGGCCACCTATCCCCGCCCACTCCCCTCCACCAGGCACCTCATAAAATCAAGGGTGTTCAAGGTTAATTCTCTCAGGGCAAAATCCTAGATAGGCTCTAGTTAACTAAAGCAAAAGACAGAAGCTTAGGCCTTCCCCTTAAACCCTCTTTGTGGCATCCCCATTAGACATACAAACCTCTGTCCTAGAGACTAGTTGCTAACGGCCATCCTTTCTCTATACCCAGCATCCTTCCTCTGAGACCCATGACTGACCTTCAAGGAACTCTCTTTCCTTCCCCAACTTCCAGTCTCAAACATCCAATCTCCTTCCCCAGCCAAGTATGGTGGCTTTGGTGGGATCAGGTATTCTCTCCTTCCTCTACCTGGGCCCATGGAATTTGTGCCAATGTGAAGTGTCAAGTTTGAATTCCCAAAGGTCTCAGCTGGTAGCAGCCCTTCCCCCACTTCCCTCCTACCTCTTGTAGACTTACCACCATCTGAAGCCATCCTTTCTGGTTGGAGCACTAACCGTGGCTGTCTGGAAGCTTCCAGAAAGAGACAGTCAGATCTAGGACCCAGAGAGTAACCTGGCTCCGGTAAATGCACAAAGATCCAAGGAGGGAAATGTAAAGATCAGATCACACAGACTAGAATCCAGGATTCAAAGCATTCTGCAGTGGGGGAGGGGAAAGAGAATAGCAGGTAGGGGGGGAGAGGTAATAGCCCATAAAGCTAGAGTTTGACAACATCATTGTTATCTACCTCTTTAAGGCAAATTGTGAATTTTTTTCTCAAACTCCCAACACTGACTGCAGATTTCCTGCTCTGTTCCCTTTTCAGTTTTTCAACATTTTTATTTGTGTGCCCTTGAGCTTCACCCAATTCTGTAGCAGACTTCTTATCACATTGCTTAGCCCTGACTTAATTCAATAAAGGTTATATTTTCTAAGCCAATTTCAGAGCACACCGCTCTTGTATTTATAGATCAAGGGGACAGAATGTTTGAAATTAGAACCAGCTCAAGGATCCTATGCACAGCATTTCCTTGGAAAAATTCCTGAGCAGCACAAACCACCCAGTTAGGTAAGACCTAACAGTCCACAGCAGGCCCAGCTTTAAGGATGCTCCCCTGTGCTGAGAAACACCACTACATCCCAAACTTGCCAAGCAACTTATATTTTCAAGACTTACAGAAAGTCTTCGTTTTAGTTGTTGAATTATTTTGTGGCTAAATATTTAATTTTTCTTTTAAAATCTAACTTAGATTTAATTTTAAAATCGGTAAGACAATAGCACGTTTTAAAAGTCAGAACGTGCAAAACAAGTCTTCCTCCCACCCGATTCCCTTGCAATAGTTCTCCACTCCAGAGGAAGCCGGCATTGTTTCTTGTTAATCCTTGCAGAGATAGCTCATGGAACTACAAATGCAAGCTGTAGGTTGCAGAAGGAAAAGAGGCCGGCAGGTTTTTTTTAGCTATAAACTAAAATATACGTCGCAATGTCTGCCGTTATAAGTAATGCCGCCATGCCCGCCATTGTAATATCTTGGTTCTAATTTCATTGCTTCACGCTGGAGTCTTACAATTACTTCTCCGCTCATTTAAAGTTTGAAATGTTCGTACGGGGTGCATCTTATTATGTTTATTGTTAGTTACTCACCATACAACAAAGAACGCTGAATTTGCGGCACCGAGACCTGAGTTAGAATCTTGTCTCGATCGCATACTTCACCAGTTTCATAAACTAGCTGTACGCTCTCCTTGCTGTACAGTATATGGAATACCCATCATGCACTCTTTACCGCCAATATTTTGAAAAGGGACGGGGGGAACCGGATGTAAAAGAGGGGAGGGAATTAAACCACCTATTTTCTTTCCTAAGGTAAAGGGGCGTTGAATCCTCGAATACTTGTTTACCCAAATATTAGAAACCCACTGCCTCTGAACTAGATATGGGTCTACCACTAAAACAGGATATAGTCACAAAAGCACAGCTCACATCTATCCTACCCCCCTAAATAATGACTAACAGTGGTTGGCACAAGAGTGGGCACACTCTACGTGTTGCAGAATCCTTGGAAGGTCCCAACTATAGCCCCGGCCAAGTCCGCACTCGGGCGCCCCCTCTTGGCTAGTTCCAGAGGCGTCCAGGCATGGACTACATTTCCCAGTATGCCTTGGGACAAGCTTCCGGCTTGGCGGAGAGGAAATTGACAGACACGTGAGACACAGTCGACCGAGTAGCCGACCGGAGTGCATAGGTATTTGCGACAATATCCGGCAACGTGTGGTCATGTTTCTCCAGTATTATCTTAACGAGGAGGGAGACCGAGTGTATACGCTGAAGGTAAGGAGGGGAAACGGTGTAAATAGGTGCGGGGAGAAATACAGTCGGAAGGAACTGGTGAGATTCGCCACCGAAAGCCCAGACCGCGGGGTGGTGGGAGCGCGAGCGCGCACTTGTTGGGCCGCCCCACGCGTGTCCCCACCCCGTTTGGTCTTTTTCGCGCCGGCCTAGACCTAGCCCAGCTTCCATGTCCTTTATGTCGCCAGTGAGGGGGGTGAGTTTTTACACCACTTGTGTGCTGAGGTGGTTCGCCCTTTTCTTCCCAACAGAAGCTTGACCCCTTGGGACAGCAGACCTGTTCAGCCCACCCTGCTCGGTTCTCCCCAGACGACAAATACTCGCGGCACCGAATCACCATCAAGAAACGCTTCAGGGTGCTCATGACCCAGCAGCCTCGCCCTGTCCTCTGATTGCCCCCTCGTGTGTCCGCTCCCTCCTTCAGACCGTCGGAGACGTCCGAAACCCGGCTGCGCAGCGTGTGAGCTGGAAGCAACGTTGGCCACATAGGCCCTTTGGAACTCTTCAATCATGATTTTGTGTGGGAAATTGTGGTAGCGTCGCTTTTAAAGGGAAGGCATTTGAATCTTCATATTGTGAATTGCTGTCCGGTTATTAAAGATAAAATGTTTTTATTTTCAAGAGCTTTTATTTCGTGTGTG